TGCAGTCCATCAAGAAAGCCGCGAATGGCCTCCTTGTCCGTGATGTCTGAGATTTCAAGAAACATCTCCGAGAATTCCTTCACATATTCTCGAAATCCACCCCTGTGTGTGAGCCTCCCCAACCTCGAACGTGTTTACGAACTCCACATTCTCTGGATAGAACTGTATCTTGATTTCTCTCTTAAAATCGTCCCATGTTGCCATCACACAGTACCCTTCTCGACGTCTGCTTCACATCGCCTCCACCAAACCATAGCAATATCGACCAAGTAAAGTGGAGTGGTACAAAGTTTTACCTCATTCTCTTGGATGTCGGATGCTTTGAAGTACTGCTCAAGACTCCAAAGGAAGTTCCTCAAGACTCCAAAGGAATTTCTCTAACTCCCTCGCGTTCCTTGAAACCTCCGAAGTTCTTCTATCTTGGAACGTTAGCTCTCAGGATGGATTGCGCCGAGGTTGGTCTGCTAGCCATGACTCACTTCACGAGAGTGACCTCACTCTTGAGGTCTGCAATCTCTTCATTCAAGATAGTCAACTCAACCAGAACCGTCTCTTTCACCACTTCAATCGCGTTGTTCATGGAGTTAGAGATGGTGTTGTTGATGAGGGTCGCAAGCTCTTCTCACAACCCATCATTGCCGACCTCCTAGCTCAACAGTCGAGCAGTAACTCCTTGAACATCGCCTTGGACTTGGTTGAAGTGAACTCACAAATACTCAATTGCGGTGACATCTTCGGCCACCTTCACTTCCACTCTAGAGACACGCTTCTCTAGAGCCGCCATGGGATCACGAGTGCTCGACGTGCCCTTTGGCCAAGTTCTCTTGTTGGGATCTCTTCCATGTTGCTTGTTGTCTCCAATATCACTCACTACAACTTCTGACCCTGACATTTTTGGTGAGGCTCTTCCGCTTCATTTGGATTTGCTTCTTCTTTGCTAGCACCAAACCAAACCAGACTCTGATACCACTTGTCATGGACTTACTCTTGGTCATGCGACTCTAGCTCTCAATTCCATTAGAGATGCTAGGCAGCTTTCTCTGAGACTCACGTGCTCACAAAGAAAGCAAGAAAGACAAAGGAAGATGAGAGAACTCTCTAGTGTGTATTACTCTAAAAAATGTGGAATGAGTACAAATGAGGGAGATGACTCCTTATATAGGCCTCTCCACATACAAGACATCAATGCCCCTCATAATGATCCCTCTCCATTACGACACCCATTAAGTCCCCCATAATGCACTCTCATAATACCACCCATAATGTGGCTCATAAGTGCAAAGCTCATAAAGGTTGGGAGAATTCTAAAGGAATCTCTATGATCCTAATCTTCCATACACACCACATGTGCAGCCGCCATGTTTTTACATTGTTGGCGCCATATCATCTGCCACATGTGACAGGTGCTTAAAAAAAATTAAATTATTGTTTAGCACAACCTTTTCTATCGACAAACTTTCTCGTCAGAATCCAACCACAAAAGCCATCATTCGTCCCATTATGGTAAAATCATAGAATGTATTGAGCAAGAACTCTAGCAAACGGGATATGGCGTCCAACACGGTTCCCAACACATTTTTGCTAAACATCGGTTTGACCTTTTTGTTTTGTTTTACCAACAACAAATTTTTTCCCAAGAAACTTGTTAAAGAAATTACACTTATTTGGGGAAATCCACAAGACCAATTTCCATGTATTCTGGATATATAAATTACAACGGTTTTTTTTTTACGAACAACACATATATTCACACAATATTGCAAGCAGATTCATAACAAGCGTTAAGAGTATCCATAATATGTCTTCGCTGAGAGTATTCACAAATAACAATACGTGTTAAAAATATTCACAACATGTGTTGTTACATTCATAACATGTGTTAAGCGTGTTTATACATGAATACTTTCAATGTGTTGTATGAATATAATGAATCGTTCGTTCCTTACTGTTGATTTGACGACTCTCCAATCTCTATGTTAGCAACATGTACCAACATGAAAGTGCCATCAACACCATGGTCAAACTAGAAATCTAGGCTTAAGAACATTTCTACAAATCCAGCTGCCACTACCCTTAACATTATACTTGATTAAATGGTTAGATTAAAATAATTTTCACATGTCAATCATCATTCATTATTTGTTCTTATGGACGTCGGGTTGTTTATGTGACCTTAAGGATATTGGTCTAGCACATAGTATGTTTCATGGAGGTCTGGGCTTTAGAGACTTTGGAGCCTTTTACCAGGCTTTATTAGCCAAACAATGTCGGTGTATTTGGAAATATCCAGTTTCTCTTATTGCCTCAATATACAAAGGCCGATATTTCAGTCAAGGCCCTTTGTTTGATGCCTCCATTGGATCGAATTTTCATGGGGATGGTGTAGTTTACTATTAGGTAGAGAACTTCTCCTCCAAGGATTACGTTAGAAGGTTGGGGGTGGGCAAGACATTTTGGCATTCCAAGTTGAATGGGTACATTCTTTACCCATCGTCTTACAATTAGTATTAGAGTTTCTCATTTGAGGCATATTTTTCTCATTTTAACCTTGATTTTCTGAATCTTCGCAAATTAATTTGCTTAGGATTAGGAATTATACTTTGTTTCACCATTTTCTCCATTTCCATTAGGAATTGTGCTTCATTTTTCATTTTAATTAGCACTAATGTAGCTTTTTAACCATACAATATGCCAAAGCTCTTCTACTAGTTAAAAATAGGCTTTTTATGTTGATATTTTGGTAATTTTTGTTGAATGATAAATAACACAATAACTTATTTCTTTAAAAAAAATCAACCACCCTTTACCTAAATTCCTAGCTCCGTCCCTGCTTATCACTCACACCCATGACTCCTATTATGTCACGACCATAGACTTCTTATATATTCATGCCCATGATCCCTCTCGCGACTCGACCATGGACTTCTTACTCACGTTCATGGCCCCTTTCGCAACATGGCCAATGGAGTTCTCGAGACTTAGTCTATTTTGCTTCTTGATATGCAGCTTGAGGACTCTGATTTATTTTTATCATGGCATAACATGGCCTCTTACGAGAAAGTCATGTCCCTTTTGACTCATGTCCATGCTCACGAATGACTTAACAGAAGTCAAGATCCATGAGGTCGTGTTTAAACAACACTAATTTATATCTTGGCATAAACCACCAAGGCAATTTGATAAGACTTCCTCTATTGGCTTTTAATTCCATTACAAAGTAGTGAATCGATTCACTCTCGTGCAATCGATTCACTACCTCTAACTCTGTTTTCCGTCTTTGAGTCACAGCTTGGCAGGGGATGTCACGGTTATGGTTGTATTTCTCTTGCCTTGACCATAATTCTCAATATGGTCAATAACTCCTGATCCATCTCTGCTCCATTTGATCCAAAATTTGTCCCAAATACTTCTCTCACGAACTAGACCCTAAAATATCACAAACATACACAACGTAAAATCGGCCTTTAACTGCCACAAACCTATCCCAAACGGTCGAAGAGTGGAGGAAAACATGCGTGAATTCCTTGTTATCACCCAAATTCATCAACATTCATTATTTTTCAAATCCAGCCATCTCACCATACTGATATTTTTGCTAATGTATATACATTTCTCATTCTTCTAATCAGAAACCATCACATTGTATCAAATCATACAATCAACTCCTTCAAATTTTAGTGCCTGTAGAAAGATTGAAAATAGAGGTAGGCTGAAATCAGGAATGGCAATGGGGCAGGTCCGGGGCGGGTTTCTTGGTACCCAGACCCGCCCCGTGACAGGTTGGGTCCAGGTCAGGTAATTGATCACGGGTCCTGGGTCGGGGCGGGTCGACCCAATGGGTATGCAATTTATATGAAAAATATTAGAAATATTTGTTATTTTAATTATAAGACTAAGAAAACAAACAATATTATGACAATTGTAGTTAAATTATTGGAGAAATTGAAGTTTTTACTAATTTACAACTTTATTATAGATAAAATATGATGTAATAAAAGGAAAATTCTAAGTAATTTGACTAAGATTACAAGTAATTTAAACCAGAACGGGTCGAGAATGGGGCGGGTCAGGGCAGGTCGGGTCGATGAGACTACCCATGCCCGCCCCGCCCCTAAACAGGTCAAACAGGTCGGGTAAAACGGGTCAGGTCGAAACTGTCATCCCTAGCTGAAATGGTTATACCGTTAATCAATTATAAGTTAGCAGTGCAGTTATCGGTAGGCTGAAATGGCTTATGGTGTAACTTATAACCAAATAGTCAGTAAACAATTAATCGACATCTAACCGAATATCAAAATCTTTGCTCTCTCCCCCAAAATGGCCATGTCACTCCAATATGAACCTTAAAATTGAAATGTAGGCATCAAGAACTGATTGAGACATCAAATGACTTGTGCTGGAGGAAAGATAGCAATGACCGTGCTCCAATTTCTTCTACTAATGACTTCACTCACTTATTTTGCATTCGTACTATTTTCCTTCCTTTCTTCACTTTATTTTCTGTTCATAGCCAAACCCAAATCAAAAGTAAAAACATAAATAATAACACATACATATACGTTTGGAAGAATCTACAAAAAAATGCAATTGAAAAAAAAAAAGAATGTTTGTTGGTACGGTTACTGATCGATTATTTTTATCTAAACTTGTCGAATCACTTACTAATTGGTTAGTTAGTTCACCGATATAATAACCTATTATACGGTTACGTTTAATCTACTAAGCAATACAGTTAATAGTAAGCAATTGCTTAACGATAAACGGAACCACATAAACTATTACTATTACAAACAAATCGAACCGGATAACAACTCTATAAAAATATATAGTTAACGAACAGAGGCGATTTGCCCCTTGGCCAAATAGGTTAAAAGAAATAAAATTGCTAAACTGGAAGTGGTTGCTAAATAAACAAAGAAAATAGCAAGCTTATTAGACCAAACAAACCAGGCCTTTAAAAATCCCTCTCTCCCTCCCTACTCGCCAGTACCATCCCATCCCTCCGCCTTTTAGACAGAGAGCGCAAGAGAGAGAGAGAGAGAGAGAGAGAGCCATAACGTCCGTTTGAAAAGCAGAGAGCCTTCCCTCTTCCCCTCGACCACAATTCCTCTCTCGATTTCAAACTTACCATGGCGGACTTCACTCGCAATCTCGACGCCTTCGATCCGAATTGGCTCAAGCAGCTCGCTCACTCACCCATCGGAGCAGACTTCAGCGATTTCCTCATCAACGAAGCTCACAGCAGGGATTCTTTCTGCCCTTCCTGCCTCCGCTTCCCCTCCACCGCCTCCGCCGCCGACGACCACCACCTCGCTCGCCACCTCTCCGCCCTCTCCCTGCTCCGAAACCGTCGCCCCGCTCTGAATCTCACTACACCGCCACCGCCAGCTGGCCTCTACCTGGAGGTTTGCTTCTACCGTACTGTTTGTCCGTTATGGGGGTACTTCGGTATTTTCCCGTTGTTCTGGATAATTGTTTGATCCTTTCTGTTTGGACTTGTATTGTTTGTTATCGCAGAGGCTCAAAACTGCTGCTATAGCAGCAACAGCTGCTGCTACTGTACGGGAGAATAACAGCAATGCTGCTTCAGCCTACCCGCGGCTGCCACGTGTCTCTGCTTCTCCTTCTCCTTCCCCTCGCCCTCCGCCACTTCCTAGTCCTGAACAACGACTCCGACCTCGGAAGGTCGTCAATGGCCTCGCTGCCTCCCGGTTGGACACGCTGTACGAGGTCCATAACCGCAAAGCTAATCAGGTACGAAGAAATCTCTGTACGATCTTTACCATTGTTTATTTTTATTTTTTTTTTCTCTCCTGCCTGCATTTATTATTATTTATATCTACCTTGATTCCTGACCCGTCTTTTCTGCAACTTTTTTATTAACTTCGGTTGGAGCTTGGTTGTGGTTCAGGTTGGTGGCTATTCTAGCTCCAGCAAGGGTAAGTATCCGGCGGAACCAACTAGGGCTGGTCGTTCTGCAGGAGGAGCAGTGCTCCCGCTGCAGAAGCAGAGAAGCCGGCCGACCCAGACCCGGGTGTACCCGTTTCAAGGGAGCGGGTCCGGTTTGCCCCGCGCCGGAGATCTCGGCAGCAAAAACCCCTCCGCCGGTAGCGGCACGGGCGTTTTCATCCCGCTCGCACCTCCTGATTCCGCCGCCGCCGCCGACTACTTGAGAAGCAAGCTCCGTGAGTATTAGTTTCGGTAGTGTTCAAATTCGATTGATATTGTTTATTTTAATTATTACTAGTCCTTAATTAGAACTTCTGATTACCCTTTTTGTTGTTTTGCGTGTTGCTGTGGGGTTGGTGTCAGTAATCTCCGGAAAGCAGAGGAGAGATCCTCGTCACGTGGGTCGCCGAGCAGCAGCAGCAGCAGCGGGAGGTGGTGGTGGTGGTGCAGATGTTTCCGGTCGGAAGTATGCATTACCAATGGAGGAAGGTGGAGGAAGAAGCAGAAGCAGCAGCAGTGTTGATCAGAAAGGAGAAGAAGAGGAATGCCATTACCATCTCCCTTCAGAGTGGCCTTACTAGCTACCTAGTTTCCGCTTCACTGTGCTTTTTGCAGCTGCTGTTAACCGTAGGTGTTGTTAACCCAAACTTAGTCAGGAAGAAATAGAGGTATACAGAATAGGAGATGTTGATTTAGGGAAGAAAGGAAGGGTGGTAAGGATGTTGTTCAAATTAGGGGAAGGGAGGTTTAGGGTTTAAGGTAACTACCTATAGTCATCATCATAACAGGATAGCAATAGCAGTAGTAGTAGTAGTAAGAAGTAGCAGCAGTAGTAGTAGTCTGTCACCTACAAGGAGACATTATTGGAGCGGGGTCAGGGGTGTCTTTTGTAACCGCAGGAAGGAAGTTAACGAAAGAAAGGAAATGTAGTTGTCACATGTTATCTTCTGGGTAGTCGTCGTTTGCCTGCTGCCAGCCCCGCTGATAAATAAAAATTCCAGTAATTAAAGCTAATGGTGTTTTGTTGTTGTGTTCTTTCTGGTAAGAGACAATCAGTCTGCCATTAATGAGCTGCTGCCTGCTGTGGGATGGGTGGCAGGAGGGAGGGACAGGCATTAATGGCGGAGGAGGGGTTTGGGGAAAGACAAAAGAGGGGGAAGCATAAATGAGGGGCAGTCCTTTTCTGCAACTTTTCTCTGGTGCTGCTGCCTTTTGTACCCGAAATGGAATGGGGGGGAATGGGGGCCAGTTGCTGTGTCTGCCTGCCTGTCAGTACTACTACTGCAGGGATGTGCAGCAGCCTTTAGTTTTTTTTTTCTTTCTTCTTCTTTGTGTAAGCCTCTCAAAAAATTTCTTGCACAAGAAGAAGGAGGAGGGGGTTACTTTCTCCCAGAAATCGGTTTTGTTAGACAACTTGTTTGGATCCAATGGAAAAAGTGGTGTAGCTAGGCTGTAGGGAAATCATCTTGGGATCTTTTACTTGTTTAGGTATATACAGGCAGGGAGGGATTACAAGAAAATCATTCACAATTGTATGTATATAGGTCTAAGATTCAACAATAGGGTAAAACTCGAATGGAATGGATTATTAACGAGTTGGGTGACCATACATAAAATTCGAATCCGAATATTATGAGTGATGATAAGTGAATGTGAGCTTCTCTAGTAAGTTTGAATCTTGCTTACCTATACATGTATAAGTGGTTCTCTTTCTCCAAACTGTCACTCTTTTCTCTAGGCATGGTCCGTATTCTATTCATGATACATGTATATGAGTAGAAATCAAACTAACAGAAATTATACAAAAAAAAAAAACTAACTAACTAAAATATGATAATTGCACTACAACAAAACTCATATATAGCGGCTAAGAGAATTTGCTTCTATAAGTCTATTATTTGCCTCTGTATATATTTAGAGGCAGATAATACATTTGCCTCAAATACTCCAGTGGCTATAGCCCTATTGAAGCAAATATAGTGGCACATATTATCTGTTGCTGATTAAAGATTTTGTAACTAATATATTAGCCGCTAATGTCACTTTTATTCTGCGTTTATATCCAATATCAGAGACTTAAGTATTTGCCTCTAAAATGATATCTAGTGGCTATTGAACTTGACTCCAAAAGTATCTATAGAGACATATATTTTTGTTTCTAAAATTAGTCAATGAGGCAATTAAATTTGCCTCTAGTATTATTTATAGAGGCATATAGTTTTGCTTGTGAAATTAATTTTCTAGATGTGCTTTTATATTTATTTATTGAATTGATTTATTGTAAAAGAAATTGAGTTGGAAAGATTATATATTGTAAAACATTTCATATTTCCATTGATATGATAGTTGAACAACATAGTGTCGTCGAGTATACATCTTAAGATTGAAGAGCAAACAATTTGAGTTCACAAGTAGGAAAAGTAGAGGGAGCCTAGCATTGGGGCATGCATCAGCAACTCCAAAAACAAAAAACACTATGATTCGAGAGTTAAAAAGCATTCATGAAGAGCTGTAGACTCTTTGTGCATCCTAGACTTGACTGCTAGCAAGATCATAAATTTCAACTCGATCGACTTCTCTTCGTACCTGCAGACGAGCAAGATCATAAATTACTACATTGAACTACTACTTTAATGAAACTATGATCATCATAACTGACAGAATTTTAAGCAATGTCTCCATAATCAAGCTTGATATCATCACTCAACCCACTACCAAATCACACCATCCAATCCAAATCTAAAAAGTGTATTATCTAGTGCAGCGGGGAGCTACCTCTTGCAAGACAATAACAATCACCAGCTCTATTACTATCCTGTAACAGAAGCAAACGAATCAAATTAATACCCATTGGCATTTACCACTCTTAATACCAAAATATATCAAACTAATACCAAAACGAATCAAATTTAACTCTTGTATTTCCCAATTCATTTTCAACTGATATCCTTCATATAACAAAATGAAGTATAATTTCACTAAACCGAACAAGTGCCATGCAGGGGAATCAGAGGAGTTGCTGTTGACAAACTACAATATGAAGTTGAAGATAAGAGATTCACTTAAATCAGAAGGGAAGAGAACCTTAACCATACATAAACAGAGTTAGGGAAAGAGAATATAATTCACATACTTGCTATGGGTTAGTAGAAATAGAGCTGCACAATCTGGTAGAGCACCCTGAGATTGCAGCCTGCACAGAGCACTTAAAGCAGCATGACCTGAAACAGAGAAACCAAAGAAAAAAGAGTATGACAAGGGAAAACAGAACTAGTGAGACACAATCACACAACACTATGACACAACCTGGCCTGCAATCAACTAGCCAAGTTTGCTACGCTACAAGCTTGCTCAGCGAATTGCAGCAGTGACTTTGAAAAAATTACAGTAGCAATCATAAAACATTTCCAAGCACTCAACTTAGTTCCTTCAAATTGAATGCAAAAAACATAATATAAATACAACTAGCCAAACTTCCTAAGGTACTCAAACTTAACATCACTCACCATTACTCTAAGCTCTCAGGAGAGACAAAGTTACCATCGTTGATCCCTTTACAAACTCATTCTCCAGGTGACAAAGCCGACAACAGCACACCACCCAATCACATCTTCAAACAGCCATTGCCACAAATCCAAACCAGATGAGAAAAATGGAACAAGCTCCAGGACTAACAATGGAGAAAAAAATCAATAAAAACAAGCTAATGCAATAGTTGAACCAGCCAACCACAAATAACCCATCGAATTGGGAATAAGAATACTTTATATGTGTGATTTTCTTGCTATAATGCTATAAGCTAAGTCCCTTTCAATGAACGGAACCCCCTTCCCCTTCCCCAACCCAAATATTTAGCTCAGAACCTGTAAACTGGTAAAAGAAATCAATACTGTCAATAGGCGCCAGCGTTGGACAGGAGACAGAAGACTGGGTGAAAGTCGAGGGAAAGGAATGGGTGCAATACATCTCCGTTGTTGTTGTTATGCTCATGGTAGGAGATTTCAAAGTTTGATTCCTCTTCTAGAATGGATCGATGGCGGGGGGATTAGGAAGAGGTGGTAGCGTGAGAGGAAGAGTAGAACACAAGACTTACAGAGCTGGGCAGCGATTGATGTAGGAAGAAGATGCGGCCTTCTGGTTCTTGTTCCTGGAGGAAGAGACTCTCGGCCGGATTGTACAGCATGGTTCTTCTATCCAGATCTGGGCAGCAGGGGTCCCGACTAGCAACTGCTCTGCCTTCTCCGGTTAGGGTTTGGAGACCTCTCTACCGGGAGCCTTTCTTCTACCGTACCGCCATGCACTCCAACTACTCTTATGTCGCTGCCGTCCCATCTTGACTTCCCTTCGCCGCCGTATCAGATAGACCCTCGAGCCTCGACCCTCTTACACATCTTGCGCCATCGTCGCAGTGCCGACCCAACAAATCAAAATTGAGGGAAGATAGAACAAAAACATCTTAGTATAGGAATAGAGAGAATAACCTACAGATGTGGACATTGAGGGCATCGAGTCAAACCTGAGCATATCGGAGAGTCTCGTCGATTGAAATCTGGGCATAAAAGGGGTCTCTAATCGTCGCTTCCTCTGCTCCGACGACGAAGGTTGATGGACATGCAGGGGTGTGCAAGGCAAGAGGTGGGTGCAACAGCGAGGCTTTGAATTTGGGAATGGAGGTCTGGCAGCAAAGGAAGAAGAAGAGGCAGAGGGGAAGATGGAACTTGGGCTCTTGGTGAGACACGGAGAGTGAGTGGGTCAAGATCTCAAGGTTAAGGGGAAATGAAGAGTAAAGTAGAGGGTCTTTGAATTTTTTGGCATCCCGGCTAAATTGGAGAGGCATATATTGATATAAATCAGAACTTAATTGCTATAGAGGCAAATTATGTATGTGTAGTATATCTAATACTTTTAGGGGCACATAATTGTTTTTATTGAGGCAAATTATATGTGTTGCATATGTAATACTTTTAGAGGCACATAATGGTGCCTATTGAGGCCAATTATATATGTGTTGCTTATAATATTCTTTTAGCGGCAACTACAATATTCGCCTCAACAGTTAGCCGCTATATGTGGGTTCTCTTGTAGTGTTGATATCCACTATTCGTTTCAAATCACCCCATTGCCATCAATCGTGATTTAAAAGAAATTAGAAATTTAGGAAACAATATATTGAAATTTGAATACGAACGTTAAATTGGAATTGCTGACATTAAATTCATATGAACAATAATAATCGTAAAAAGTTGAACGTAATCGTACTTTAATTGAAAATTATGGATTTAACGGGGACTTATCTGCATAAATACTTAAATCTAAGTACCAAGTTGCAAAACACGTTAAGCTCATATGCTACACCTTGAACCCTAAATCCTAAGCCTATAAACCAAAAATCTTCATAAACCCTGAACCTCCAAACCATAAACATTGAACCATAAACCCTAAATCTATAAACGCCAAACCCTAAAGATATTTGCACAACAAATAATATTTCAACAAGTTACTAATAAGTAATAACGAGTATTTATCATCGCTTTAAAAAAAAATTATCATCTTAACAAAAATATTTAAACATGTCAATAACAACTATTCATCATTCTGACGTGAACTAATAATTCAACATTTTTTTAACAACAAATGACATATTAACAATGACTAGTAGGGATGGCATTGGGGCGGGTTTGCCTAAACCATCCCCATCCCCATCTTCAAATACCCAAACCCATACCCGCCCCATACCCATGCGGGGGAATGTGTTGCAAACCCATCCCCATACCCGTGGGTTTCGGGTACCCATGAGTAATACCCATCCCCGTACATCCAACATTATTATACCTAAAACTTACAAGAAAAGTTTTAATTATAACCATAAACAAACCTATTATATCATGAAGTCAACAAAACACGGTCATTTTCTAAATACGATTCAAAGAATATGATCCTAAAACATCCATTAATAAATAATATAGACTACAATATTTTTTAAATTATTATGCTCTAACTCTTGATACATTTACTAAGTAACAATTAACTAACATAATCTTGTTGACAAGGGGAAAAGTAAAATAGTGGAAGGAGAATTGAGGGAAATGAATTAGGTTTTGATTAAGGTGGTTACTCAATTGCATTTCTACTATTTATTTTCTCGAGTTATCATCATTATCATTGATAGATTACAATTTAATCCACATATTTTTTGATATGTGAAGAAATTCTCTTGGTGGGGCGGGTATGGGTATGGGTATGGGGCGAGGGAGGCTAAAACCATACCCGCCCCATACCCATCAAACTTTTTGCGGGTTTTACCCATACCCGGTCAAAGCAGGGATTCCCCGCGTTGACTGGGTCGGGGGCGGTCGGGTACCCGCGGCCATGGGTTTGATTGCCATCCCTAATGACTAGCCATGCCGATGGTAAGACAACCTAGTTGGTAAAGGGCTGGGTTTCGGGTTTGGGAGACAAAGTTCCAGTTTCGAATCCCAGTGCCGTCTTCTTGATGTTCCCGGAGGCACTGCACCGGGACAAAGTCCTTGATGGTTAGTATGCATTATGCAGGTACCCCGAGGTTTAGTAGGCCCCACTGCCACTCATGTGGCATGTGGGGTTGCTGATGATGTTCCTAGGTTATCAAATAAATAGGGGGAAAAACGAAAAATGACTAGCCACTATCCTAACAAGAACTAATATTTAAACATGTTACTAATAACGCAATTTATTATCTTAACAAGTAACATTTAAACACATCATTAACAGAAAATACTCATCATTCGAACAAATACTAATAATTCATTATCTTCTTACCAACAACCGTTGATCATAGTAACAATGACTAGTCACAATCATAGCAATAACTAATTAAACACGTTATTCTAAAAAAAAAGGTTTAACCCACTAGCTTGTTTACTTATTGTTAGGCGTAGAGCTATCTACAAATCAGAACTAGAGCAACTTCAAAAACTAAACCTAACAAATAAAACAAAAATTATTGCTAGTAACCTCAAATTTTCCTAAACCAAACCGAAGATATTACAAATCAAACCGAGATAGTGGGTGACGTGTAAAGCACGCATCCGATCAAAATTGATGATGTATGAAATACACTTTCGATCACGACTGGTGACATGACGCGTTCGACCATATCCATGGTGGAGATCTTACCTCCACTGATGCTGACATGGAGGGGATGGCGATGACCGAATGGTGTGTTTGGAAGAGCGAGTTTGAGAAAATATGTCTTTCGTAGGGGTATTAACTAGTGTCAATTTTTATATTTTAGGACTACAAATAAGTCTTATTTAAGACTACAAATAACACACTTCGCTTATTTTACATACTCAATTAATTGACGAAATTGTGTGTAATTGTGTTTGGAACAATATTAATGATCAAGTTCCTCTTCTCAAGATATCTATGTCATGGATTCATTCTCTTCTTGAAAACTATCAAAAAGTTGTCCATATCTTGGCAAACGAGTCTTTTATAGATAGTTCAATATCTAGTTGACCATAGATATTTTTATATGGAATGCCTTAAAAAGCTATTATTTCATAGTTGCCCACTTCCTTTTTGAGTATCTATTACAATGTGCATGTTTCTTTTATTTGATGTATTCAGCTGTCTGATTAAATTTTTTTAGTAGGAAGAATCTCGTATGTTTATGTTATTTGACACATTCAGCTGTCTGATTTTGAAATTTGAATAATTAGATTAAATTATTGTACTAGGGTAGTATCCAGACTCAACGAAATTGTTCTTTCTAATCAACTTCGGAAAAAAAAAAACTTCTAAACCTGACTTGGTCTTCCTTTTTCAATTTTGGTTGGGTTATGCTAGTTTCTTCCATGAATTTTTGTTTAAATGGAAAGAAAAGTGAATACCAAGGGTTCCATATTCATGTAATTGAGAGATGCAGTCCATGTTTAATCGGGATAAGGTCAAATTGTAACAATGTATTGTTGGATTTTATTTTTTTAATGAATATTTCGTATTCCTTTTTATCATTTTAAATTTGTATAGTAATTATGATAATTGTATTTTTTCAATATATTGTTGGAGATTTTTTGGATACCTAAGAATAATCTCTACCCTATATCGTATACAACGCACAAATTTAATTTATTTTAAGTTTAAGTTTATAATTTTAGAGTTCGGGCATTGAGAAAATCCCATCATATATCATGAGCGCTTCACGAAAAGTCTGTGATCACGAGTTGAGACGAACCCATACTCCACACCAAGATGTCATAACACTAGGCAAAACAAACTATACTCCAAGACACGATGGTTACCAAACAACCTCTAAATCCGATCCGATTAACAATCTACCACCCACCATCTATTCTACATTGCACATCCACTTCCAACCATTTTTCTTGCCAAAGAATCTCTAAATCCGATCCGATTTTTTTTAGGGAATGCATGTTAACGGCAAGAACGTTTGAATACAAATAAAACCATAGGGCCCACAGTCAAAGATTTGGGCCCACAACAAAAATATTTCCGTCCGCTAAGGGAAGGTAATCCAACATTTCTTCATAACCACTTCAACATTTGTCTGCTTGCGCCAGGGGCCCCACCACACTGCCACCGCACCATCACCGTCGTCGTGATCCTTTGCTTCCTTCGCATTTCGCAACCGAAAAGAAAACAAGGAGAGAGCGTCACCCAAAAGCAACAGTGACGGGCCTCCTGAATTTCCCCTTTTTTTCTGCGAAATACAAAAACCGACCTTCAGAAACCACGCGATTCCGCCACCATTTCCCCCATTATCTCCGACCTCCGATCCCAGTACCAGAAACACCCGCCTGAAGGGCCAGCCGCAAAATTCAAGACAAGAAACGATGGGGGTGCCACAGACGATGGTGGCGCTGGCGTATAGGGCGGAATTCATGAAGGAGGCGCTCGAGAAGAGCCAGACCATCACCGATAACATGGTCTCCATCCTTGGATCCTTCGACCACCGCCTCTCCGCCCTCGAAACCGCCATGCGTCCTACTCAGGTCATCAATTGCTTTAATCTATCGGTCATGTTGTTGAGATCTCTGCTTCGGAGCTCAAATTTTTTTTTTTTTGCTTCTCTATTTTTGACACTGGTCTGTTCTTCGTGGGGCAGATAAGGACGCATTCGATCAGGAGAGCACACGAAAACATCGACAAGACTTTGAAGTCTGCGGAGGGTATCTTGACTCAATTCGACCAAACGCGCAAGGTTTTTCTTCTCTCTACTTCTCTGTTTTTCCCCCGTGCGAATTTTGAATGAACAAATGGTGTTTGACGAAATGCTCCAGTGGCCATGCCTTAGTTGTCTGCTCTGATGGGGTCAGAACATCATGGAAAGGGACTGTGTGTGTATGTGGGGTTGGGGGTTATTGTCATAATCTGCTCTGAATTATATAAACAAACAAAGTCTCCCTTGCCTTAAGTGTCTGTGTGTATTGTGGGATTATGGCAATTTTGACTTTTATAACCAGCATTTAAAAAGATTTCAGTTTGGAGTCTGAGGTCAGTGAACCAGACGAAAACCCCAAGATATTTAATTGAGGTTATTGAACCCCACTTTCTTGGAGTTATTGCAGTTGTTTGCCTGATTGGACATAATCCGAAACTGATTTGTAGAGAAAAGACGACAGCTTTCTGTTGCTTGTTATTTTGGGCCAAGTTGCATGTTAAAATTGTGTGTTTTGATTCCAATGATTAGGCGGAGGCTAAAATTCTGAGAGGACCACATGAGGATTTGGAGAGCTACCTAGAAGCAATTGAGCAGCTGAAAGCCACTGTCAAGTTCTTCAGCAGCAACAAAAATTTCAAGAGCAGTGATGGGGTGGTTCACCATGCTAATCAACTGCTTGCCAAAGCTATAGTAAAGCTCGAAGAAGAGTTCAACACACTGCTAGCTAATTACAGGTTGGCTTCCAAATTATACTTCAGAGATCCAATGATAGTAATGAAGTGTATGTGACTAGAAAAAGTGCAGATTTGTTAAATTTGTGTTGCAAACGAATTAGTCAACACCAGGTGTAGGTGACATGGTCTAAGTGGAAGGGGATGTTAGGTCTCCATTCCTCTTGAATTCCTTCATTGTTCTCTTACCTTTTGGCCCGGCATGAATGAACCACGCGAAGGTGAATCCTGAAAGAAGCGTTTTTAAACTTCCAACAGTCAGAGACTTGCTCAGACGGTCTGATGTTTTGTGTACTTGCTCCTCGATACTCCCTGCTTGGATTGTCTTATATACTTACTTTGACCCGAAAACATGGACTGATGGTCATCTTAGCACCTGCACCCTGTTCTCAAGTCGTGAGAGCCATTCAAGTAGTCTTCAGTTAGTCTCATCAGTACATTATAAGCTTCAATTCTCTGCCTTCGTTTTTATGCACTATATCTCTGTCCTCTGATATTCCCTGTATTTTTGTGAGTCAGAATCAGCTCCCCAAGCTGTCTTGAATGTCAGGTCTGTTGACAGGGTGTTTTATTGGATTTATCCAGCAAACCTGTTGAACCCGATCGCCTTTTTGAATGTCTTCCGAACTCTCTAAGGCCATCATCAGCATCTGATAAGCATCAAGGGGAGGGTGGTAATAAACATTCTCCTGAACAGCAAAAGAGCTTAGCAACTGCCATTTACACACTTCCCACTCTTATCCCACCAAGGGTCGTGCCACTGCTGCATGATTTGGCATTACAAATGGCTCAAGCTGGTCATCAACAGCAACTGTTCCGAATCTTTAGGTGATTGTCCTCTGAATTCTTTCCTATTCTTACTTTTCTTTCCAGTTGTGAAAGATGTACCAGCTTCTGAAGCTGCAAAAATGGAACTCTTTGCCCACTTGCAAGGACATTGGCAATAATAGCTTTTAATTTGAAAACTAACAGTAGGTTTTCCGTTCAAGTTATTGAAGTAAAATATGGGTTTGGTGCCAATCTTGAACAGATACTCTGGTAGCATGTAAATGATACTACTACTAGCACAATTGGCGTTATGCTTTAATGTGCATGCTGTACTCTTTCCTTTAGAATATGGGACTTGTCAATGTCAATATATACTGTCTTTAAATGCTAGGGATACTCGTGCTACAGTTTTGGAACAGAGCCTCAAGAAATTAGGCGTAGAGAGACTTACTAAAGATGATGTCCAGAGAATGCAATGGGAAGTTTTGGAGGCTAAGATTGGAAATTGGATACACTACATGCGAATTGCTGTAAGGACCTGTGCTGATGCTAATTCATCTAAACAATCTTCCTCCTATTAGGTAGTGTTTCTAACCTAACCTTTCAACGCCTTTGTATCAGGTCAAATTGCTTTTTTCTGCAGAGAAGAAAATATGTGACCAAATACTGGAGGGGATTGAATCTCTAAGGGATCCATGTTTTGCTGAAGTAACTGTAAACAGTGTCTCTGTGCTTCTTAGCTTTGGAGAGGCAATAGCAAAAAGCAAGAGATCCCCTGAAAAGTTATTCGTTTTACTGGACATGTACGAGATCATGAGAGAACTGCGCTCAGAGGTACTCATCTCAAAACTAGTAGCGGTAATAGCAATATATGAACTCTGCATTTTTTGGGTACTTAGTTCTTCATTCATGCTGGTATGTATTTCTCCTTCTCCTTTTTGCTTATTCATGCTTTGTTTATTTATTTTTTGTTTTGATGATGATGTAGTTTGAGTTGGTATTTGGAAGCAAAGCTTGCATGGAAATGCGAGAGTCTGCATTCAACTTGACGATTCGGCTAGCTCAGACTGCACAAGAGACTTTCGTGGATTTTGAAGAAGCAGTCGAAAGAGATGCAACAAAAACGGCCGTTCTTGATGGAACAGTTCATCCTTTGACTAGCTATGTGATAAATTACGTGAAGTTCCTATTTGAGTAAGCAAATATTAACCCTGTTCCTGTTGTAACTCCTTTGACATCTTGATTCTCATTTTGTTTCCCTCTAACTTATTCGCAGCTACCAATCCACCGTGAAACAACTATTCCAAGAGCTGGAGTCAACCGACCCCGAAGGTCAACTAGCCGCAGTAACCACCCGAATCATGCAGGCTCTCCAGACCAATCTAGATGGGAAATCCAAGCAATACAGAGACCCTGCACTCACACAGTTGTTTCTCATGAACAATATTCACTACATCGTGAGATCTGTACGAAGGTCCGAGGCAAAGGACTTGTTAGGAGACGACTGGGTGCAGATTCATCGCCGCATTGTGCAGCAACATGCTAATCAGTACAAAAGAATATCCTGGGCGAAGGTTCTTCTTGGCAACCTTCATCGAAGCTCCACAGTTTAGCCTTTCATTCATAGTTTGGTAACCAGCTTTCTTCCTACGCATGCAGATACTCCAGTGTTTGACCGTTCAGGGTGAAGGCCAGTCTAGTGGGCTTTCAAGAACAATGGTGAAAGAGAGGTTCAAGACGTTCAACGTCCAGTTCGAGGAGCTCTACACGAGGCAAGCCCAGTGGACGGTACCCGACAGCGAATTGAGAGAGTCTCTCAGGCTAGCAGTCGCTGAGGTGCTCTTGCCTGCGTACCGATCCTTCATCAAGCGCTGCGCGTACGCCTTTCAGTTCCCTTCCTCTTCTTAAAACTTTAACATACTAATCATCTGTTTGTTGAGAGAAGTAGGTCGATCATGGACAATTTATGGCTATGCTAATTGTTTGCTGCAGGCCTATGATTGAGACCGGGAAGAACCCGAATAAGTACATAAGGTACACACCAGAAGACCTTGAAAGAATGCTGAACGAGTTCTTTGATGGGAAGACCTACAATGAACATAAACGGTAATCTCCTTCAGAATCATTTAAAGAATCATTGTAATAATTGTTTCGTTCTTGTTGTCGGAATCTTTTTTTTACAGCATCTATAATGTTCAGTTTTATAATTATTACTACAAGAACATCCAAACAGTAACTTAGGAAGTTGGCTTTGTATCTTGTTGCAAAATTCTTAATGTAAAAAAAGGAATAATGGAGAATTAGACGACGAAGAAGAAAGATCACTCTGCATGTGAAAATTTAGTGCTCTTCCTCTGGTTTTTCAATTTTCATATCTGTTTTTCTGTTTATTAGGAAGAGACGAGCCGCATCACTTTGGAAATGTGGGTGTGCTGGTTCTTTACCTGCCAAATCATAATTGTAAATACAAGATTAATTAATTAAAGGGGTCTACCCAATTTTGGTCTAAACTTTACATAAAAGGGATAAAAATGTAATTAGCAAACGGTTAATCTATAACAAAAGATTTGGCAAACCAAACTACCCGATGAAAACTGTATACGCCAGCTGTCCGCTAAGCTTAAACATGTATTAATGAAAGAAAGGGAAAACGACGCAGAGCATGGAAACCCTCTTTTAGCTGCAAAGATCTGGCCTGGCTCAACGTCGGGTGACATTGAATAGGTCGAAGATAATCACCTATATCCATGCCTGCAATGGTAACCAAGGAAATTGACCCGCGAATAGGATGCTAACATTGCAGTGTTAGCACCATAATAATGCCGATTAGTAGTAACTTCATTCTGTTCTCCTTCCACCACCTCGTGCACTCAAAAAAATATTGAGAATGGATCTCATTTTATAAAGCACAACGAACTCGTTCCATCTGTGGAAAAAAAAATTGAAATTCGAGTTAGAATGAAAAAGATATGATCCGATTAAGAAAACTAGAGAAAAAGATTTGTAGTCATTTAAAAGAAAGGTCCATATTTGATTACACATAATTATGCACCATAAGGTTATGCACCCAATCTTGAGCCCACTCAACCCTCACCTCCAACAAATTACTTGAAAAAAGAGCTTATTTTATCGGCTAAATTACACATTTGGTCACTCAAATTATATAAATCTTTCACGTTTGTCACTCGAAATACTTTTCTTTCTTATTCGCCACTAACTTTACGATTCATTTCACCGTAGTCACCGACCGTTACCCTCCGTTAAATTTATCCTATGTGGCAGTCAACTATAAAGTTTGACCGTCTTTTCTCCAAGCCTGTTCGTTGCCGTTTTTCTTGGTCTCCGGGCTCCTCGCGGACTGCTGTTCTCCCGTTGTGGTGTTGGTCCGATCGTTGCACGGCGAGCTGGTGGTCGACGTTGGTTTTTCGGCGGCTCTGTTCGTATGGTTGGCGGCGGCAGGTTGGAGAAGAGATGATGGCTAGGGTTGATGTTGGTAGTTGTCTGTAGGGTTTATTGGGCTCACTTTGCAGGCTCTGGGGTTTGGGCTTCATTTGTTGTTTCTTTTTGAAACATTTGCTAGGGCTTTGTTTTCCCTTTTGATTTCTGCGGTATCTTTCCATGGGTTTTTACCCTAAATTTTGTACTCACTTTTGAAGTGCAATATAAGCAGCTTCTTGTCAAAAAAAAAAAAAAACTAGATGACGTGGAAATTTAAAAAATAATAATAAAAAAAATTATTTTTCCACCTCATCATTCCACTTACTTTGTATTTATCATATTAATTATTTAACAAAAATTAATTAATTGTCCTCCACTGATGGTCGCTGTCCACCGATCGTTGGGGAGCCCGGAGCTGGTACTTGACTTTGGCTTTCCTCGACTACTGTCGCCGCCCTCTCCAACATCGAATACGTCCGCCGCGGCCCGCGAGTCCCCTCCCACATCAAGCAATCTGGAATGACAATCGTGAGTGTTTAATTTCCGTTGTTGCCTTCGCCGACATCGACCACCTCCACCGGCTATCTTCTCCCCTGCAATCTCTATCCTTAAAGCGAAAGTTCTCCGACATTGATTTCCTCCACCGCAATCCGCATATCTCCTTCCCAGCAGACTCTCTCCTTAAATCAAAGATCTCCAGCTTTGACAAGGTACTCTCCTCTCTTCAGATTTGGAACAGAAACACGAATTCATTCTAAAATTGTTACTTGTCCTTGGTTGTATGGTTGGGGCCGCTGCTTGTTTTTTTTTTTAATTTGGTTATTTTTTGTTTAATTTTAATGAGATCACCAGTAGCTTAAAGAAGTATACATGATTGAGATCTGGAGAGCGTTTGATGAAGCTCAGTTGGGGACATTTCTCTACTAACCGGTTTAGTTGGGACACTCATATTTGCATAGTGAGCTAGCCTACAAAGGCTCCATCACCCGAGCAATTCTCAAAGCCAAAGAAAAGAAGAAGCTTCTCGGCCCAAAATCACGGCCTCGCAGATTCCTCTCAGAAGAAAAAGAACGGAGCAGAGCTTCTCACCTAGCATCAAGTAGCTTGATCTACCATCCATTCCATATGTAGATGCCAACTAATCAATCTCATATGCCGGCAAAATCAGACGGAGAGAGATCCCGATTCCTGGGTGGGCCGAAGTTGTTTTCTTTTCTTTGTCGCTCTAAACAGGGAGACCCGCTACCCAGATATGGAAACCAGGAAAAGATCCGAAACTTCAAGATTCTTGGAGAAAGTAAGGAACAACTAATAGAGTGCAAAAGATGAGTGAAGGAAAGAGGAGGGGGGGGGGGGGGGAGCTAATTGATTTCCCCTTTTTTTTCGCGATTCAAAGCATGGTCCCTGTTTCTCGGCTACCAAACAGAGTGGAAAAGAAGAAGAGAGAAAGATGTGGAACCCGGGAAAAAGTGCAACTTTAATAACCAAGGGAGGAAACGGTACCAGCTCGACCACCTTCTCCTCAGTCGTCTCCAAGCTCGCCTGCCTTCCTACTGTCGCCGTCAAGTACCAGCTCTCCAACGATCGGTGGACGGCAACCATTCGGGTCTCTCTGCCGACGTAGTGGAGATTGTAGTGTGGGTTTGATAATTAATTTTTGTGAATTAATTTTTGTGAATTAATTTATATCATAAATTATATAGACAAAGTAAGTGGAATGATGAGATGGAAAAATAAATTTATTATTTAATTTTTTTTAATTTCCACGTCATTTAGTTAACGGTCAAACTTTATAATTGACTGCCACATAGGATAAATTTAACGGAGGGTAACGGTCGGTGACTAACGGTGAAACGATTAGTAAAGTTAGTGGCGAATAAGAAAGAAAAGTAATTTGGGTGGCAAACGTGAAATATTTATACAATTTGAGTGACCAAATGTGTAATTTAGCCTTATTTTATCATTATAAAAAGTTTATTTCACCATTATAATTTTGTTTATCACTTGTAATCCTTTATAACCTTTGTTGCCTTGCTTCATAAGGTTTCTAGTGTGGTTTCTCGTCTTTCTGGTATGCTTCATGAGAGTTTTGGTGTGGTTGCATATATTTCTAGTATGCTTCTATGAATTTGTGGTTTGCTTTAATAAAAGTGTGGCCGGCTTTATGAGGTTTCTAATATGCTTCATGGAGCTTGTGGTATGCTTTATGAGATTTCAGGTATGCTTTAAGAAACTTGTAGTAAGTTTTATGAGATTTTGGTATGTTTTATTAGGTTTCTGGTATGTTTTAAGAAACCTGTCGTCATGTTTATGAGGTTTTTTGGTGTGCTTCAAGGAATTTGTGATTTGCTTTATTAGGTTTATGGTGTTCTTCAGATAATTTGTGCTATGCTTTATGAGGTGTTTGGTATGCTTTAAGAAACCTGTGTTGAACTTTGTGAGGTTTATGGTGTGCTTCAGAGAACTTGTGGTCTGCTTAATGAGATTTCTGGTATGTTATAAGAAATTTGTGGTAAGCTTTACGAAGTTCTAGCGTACTAGAGGGAATACTTTATGAGGTTTCTGGTCACCTTTAAGAAACATGTGGTCAGTTTTGAGTTTTCTAGTATGCTTTATGAATTTTGTGTGGTGAGGTTATGGTCAGCTTTATAACCTTTATGATATACTTTATGTTATTTGTAGTGTGGTTTGTTGTACTTTTGCCCGTGTGTTGTGGTATGCTTCGTGATACTTGTGGTTAGGATGAGACGCATAATAAATGAGCAACGCCATACGCGTGTTCCCTTCTATAATTTTTGAAAGTGAAAAGCGTATCCCTCCCTAATAACCAACTTTAATTTTGGTCAAACTCTTAAAATTAAATACGTCATCCAAAATAAAATGTTACAATTGGCTAGCGTTAGTGTTAGCATCACGTTAACAAACTGGGTGTTGGCACCCTAGCATTGGCCCGAAAATACAATTCTCCAACAAACCATTAACCAAATTGACTCATATTTATAATAAATTTCACACAAATTAGGAAGACATTAATAATTTAGACACTTCTCACTATATCTCATGTAGATTCGCCTAGTGCTTGTAATCCTATAAAGTTTTTTTTTATTACTCATACCAACTTTTCATTTGGTTACTTTAAATTAAAAGAAATATTTGTTGACAAATAAAATAAAGTCACTAACTACATATTTTTGGGGACCAATGCTCTTTAGGTGTCTTGATTTGGCTTCTTTGATAAGAGTATAAAATCTTCCATTACTCCAACCAATTGTGTTTTAGAAAATTGTCGCTTAACTCTAATACAATTAACAGTGTAAAATTTTCTTCCAAATATCTTATGATCTTTACACAACATAGTAACCAATAGTAATAGTTCAGAAATATTCTTTATTTTCGTCTTTAGAAGTTGATGGTTAGTGCGTGCAGTTAGAAAATATGTGACTATTCAATAGTACAAATAATAGCAACTTGAAAGTGGTGTGGGTCATTATTCATGAGTTTCCAATCCCTAATTGATATCATCGAAAAACATATATGTCGTCTGTCAAATTTGCCTCTCCAACCAAAGGCCGTCGGAAACTTCCACCCATCACCCATTCGTCCAAAAGCATTTTCTGTAATGAACTTCGTGAACAACACACTTTGGAATTGGATGAGTGATGAAATCATGAATAAGTTTTTGGCTGGTTACACTGAGAGAGGCATCCTTGATAGTTTGGATGTTGAATGTATTTTACCTACTTTTCCGAATATGAGTCGTGCGTCATTGTAAAACATTAATGTAAGTTATGAATGATTTTATTTTTAGCGTTGGACCTAAGAATTTGAAGGCCATGTTTTCTAAACAAAATGTGGCCCAAATTGGTTTTTCTAAATATATAATATAATATAAACAAAACATCAATCAATAATTAAAAATCATAACATTATCTAAAAGTAATATCTATCTAATATGATTTGAAATAAAGAGTTACAATGGTTAAAATAGTAAGATGTTATTAAAAAAATTGATTATTTGAG